GAAGCCGGGCCCTCCTTGCTGTTCCTCCTGCCGGGGCCGAGGGACGGGAAAGCCGTTCAGCTCAGACACGCGCCAGGGGGCTGGCGACGACGCCGGCCAGATGGCCCCTGCGTGTGGGGCCACACTGGGCCTGTGGGTCTCCGGGGGGCCGTCTTCAGGACCAAGCCACCCGACTCGCTGGCCGGGGGATGTCCCCAGGAGCCACGACCACGGTCCCCGAGGTCAGGCCCAGCAAGCAACGCCCTGGTCTCTGCTGCTGCTCCCGGGACACGGCCCGGCTGCCCCGAGACCCTCTGTCCTCGGGTTCAAAAAGCACACGGCGGCCGCCCGCCCGCCCGCCCCCCACGGTGCCAGGAGCTGCACCCCGGGCCCTGGCCCTGCGCGGCAGCAACGGCCAACGGGAAAGGTCCGGCCCACAGAACCGGCGTGACACACAGAGCTCGGGAGCATGTCAGAGCGTGTCAGAGCGAATTCATCTCTGAGGCCCAGCCAGGAAGGACGGGGTGGGCACTTCCCCAGGGAAACCAGATGCTGCTGGCTTCCTGTGGCCACGGTGGGAGCTCCTTCCTGAATTGACAGCTGCACCCCGCCCCTCCCCCACCGCAAGCGGGTGCCTGCCACCACCTGGGCCACCAGAGTCCGGCACGGGGCCACCCGGCTACCCGAACCATCACTGAGGAGGGGCCCACTCCTCTCCACTCCCTGCCCTCACCCGCTTGCCAGCCGCCCGGCGGAGGGCAGGGGGCAGAAGGGGGGGCACGCCTGTGTGCGGAGAGAGGTCGCCCCTGCCTGCCTCACGGGGCAGCTGCCCCCGGCCCCGGGGAAGGAGAGGACGCGGGGGCAGGACTGAGGCGCCCGGGCGGGAGCACCGGCGGTCCGGAGCCTCCTGCTCTCAGGCCTGGGCAGGACTCAGCGCGCTGGCAACGGTGCTGACCGGCTGCCGTGACGACAGACAGCTGCCCGCCCCTGTGCCGGGACGGCCGCCAGGGCTGCACGCCGCCCCGCAAAGGGCAGGAAGCGCCCCTCTTGGGCCGCGTGGGCCGCCCGGGAACCCGGTCCCATATTCTTCTTCCCGTCTCTGGCTCTTTGTGCGTTTTGTCTGCAAGACTTCAAAGACGAAGAGCCACCCTCTGCCCATACAAATGCGGGCCCTGCCTGCCTTGGTCCGCGGGCCGGAACGTGCCACCCCCCCCCCCCCCCTTTAGACAAAGGACGTGTTCCCGAGGGGCCCTGTGAGACCAGGACGCCCGCACCCAGGTTCAGGAGCCAGGACGCTCCTCCTGTGTCGTCCCCTCCAGCACTGCTCCAGGTGGACCCGTGTGACCTAGAAGGACACAGCAGAGGGGAGGGAACAGGAACACAGACATGAAGTTGTAAAACGGCTGAGGCTTCAATCTCGGGGCCCCTCTCTTCTCTCTCTCCCCCCCTCTGCCCCCTCGCTGTCTCTTTCTGTCTCCCGTCTGTCACATCGCTGGCTCTGGGAAGCCCTGCCCTGCGCTGCCCTATGGAGGGGCCCCACGGGGGAGGCACCGAGGCCCCGCCACAGCCACGGGAGCCAGCTTGGACGCAGGGCCCGCCCGACAGGCAGACCGGGTGGCTTGGGCCCTAGCTGATGCCTGGACTGCGGCCTGTGAGCCACCTTGAGCCAGAGCCCCCCAACCGAGCCCTCTAGGAGCCTGTCCTCAGACAGCGTGGAGGTCAGATCACAGGGATTAGCGGTGGCAGGGGTACGTCGGGGTAACTCGGTGTGCAGCAATGGGTGAGGAATACATGGAAGCGGTCCAGCAGGGAAGCGCCACGACCCGGTAGCTGGGGGGCGGGGAGGACGAGAGGCAGAGGCTAGTCCGTTTGATCCCACGGCCACAACACGCTCGTGTGCCACGTCGCAGAGCCACCCAGGTATTTACGTGGAGAAAGCCTCTGTGAGTAAGTCTGGAGCAAAGGAACCCACGAGAAACCCCGGAAGCCATTAGGAAGAGCCTGGAAAGCCCGATGACACAGAAACTAAACGCGTCTGCCTGGCCTGAACAAACCCAAAACCACAGTCAAGAGACAAGTGACAGCGCAGCTCGGGGAAAGATTAGCAAGACGTGACTCAGGCCTCGTAGCATTACCCTACAGAGAGAGCTTGAAGCGGTCCAGCAGGAAAAGCGCCACGACCCGGTAGCTAGAGGCAGGGGGCGCGCGAGCAGGGAGAAGGAAAGGCAGAGGCTACACCCTTTGACCCCACGGCCAGAACAGGCTCGTGCGCCGCCTTGCAGAGCTGCTCGTTCTGGAGACAAATGGCGGCCGGTGCCAGGCACTGCATTGCCCCCACCAGCCGGGGACAAGCCACCGCGGAGTCAAACAAACAGCGACCACCAAAGAGACCGGCCCCAGTGGGTGGGTGGCGGTCGTGGCGCCGGGTGCCGAGCAGCTCCGGGCGGCACCGCCGGGGACCTGGGAGGCCATGTTGCTGGAGAAAGGCAGTGGCTTCCCAGCAGCTAGAGGGCCGACGGCACCCACGGACCAGACGACTGGCAGGGCCGGTCCCGGGCAGACGACCCCCTTTCCCGTCTGCACGCTCCCCCCAAATCCACGTTCTCGGTCTCAGGGCCCAGGGTCCTCCCCCGGCCCCGAGCTCAGGGTGCGGCTCTGTCCTCTGCCTCATCCAAGGCTTCTTTGCATCCCCACTGCCCGGCCCCACTCTGATCTCCGCCCCTCTCTCTCCTACGTGTCCGGACCTATCCGCTCCGGTCTGGGACTTGCCGGGCGCCTGTACAAACCCGACAGACACCTTCTCCCCGCCGGGGCTGTGGACGGTGCCCTCCAGACAAACCGGGGCAGGAAACGCTGACTGCCCCTCGATGGGAAGTCCCCGAATCCTCGAGGGCTAGCAGCCTCCTGGCGTGTCCCAGGCCCGTGGGGACCCGGCCAAGGGGCCATGCCCAGGTAGGGAGGGCACGGGGCACGCACACACCTAGGAGTGAGTCTCAGGTCTCCGCAGCAGTGCTCCTCACAGAGGGGGTCCCAGACCCGTGGTGGTGGCAGCAGCGTCAGCCCGGAGCTTGTTAGAGTCACAAGTTCTCAGGCCCCACCGCAGATCTGCAAGATCAGAGACTCCGGGGTGGAGTCCGGCGTGGCGAGGTTGAACAAGCCCTCCAGGTGTTCCCACGCGGCCGTCCAGCCTGAGAGCCACGGGGACGGATGGTTCCTGATGGCACCCACTTGTAGAGAAGCCACGAGCTTTCTCTGCCTCTGCGGGGCCGCCCTTGCTTGTGACCTCCCCAGGTGACAGGCAGGGACAACCACAGCTGGTCCTGGAGAACGGGGTGACTCGGGCAGGACTCTCTCCCAGGGGGACCACACCTGTCAAGTGGCGTGGGAAAGACTGTGTTACCTTCCTGCCGTCCTCACCTGCAGGAGCCTGGAGAGCTCCCCTGGCCAACACCACACTCGCGGGTACGGGCACCAGCTCTGCCCACCTTTTCCCGGGTACCGGGTACTAGGCCTGTGTGTGTGTGGAGGTGGGATCCATGCTTTACAGAGAACTGTCCCAGACGCACTCAGGGTCGCTGGAACACACAGCGCGCCGGGCAAGGAAGGGGTGGGGGGGTGGGGGTGGGGGGAGGGGGGCGGGGGTGCCGCGATCCGGTCCCCGGGGGGCTGGATGCGCCCCGGACCGGACCGCACAGCAAGGCCGCTCCCCGAGGCCAGGGCGGGGAGGGGCTGCAGACGCGGTGACTATGCCCTTGGTCGTCCCGGTGGGGCCGCCGCCCCCTTCTCCCCTCACTAGGCCCCCGGGGGCCCCGATACACTGGCCCTGGCCGTCTAGAGGGCCAGACACCGTCAGGTCGGCCTCGCCCCGGCGGAACGCACAGGTCCCCAGGCCTCGGGGAACGGAGACTCTGGCAGGGGCCAGGACCCGGAGAGGCGGGGGGCGGAGCCCAGGGACGGAGGGCGGAGCTCAGGGATGGAGGGCGGTGTCCAGAAGGCCGGGGCGTCGTCCGGGCACGCCGCGCCCACCCTCACCGCCCCGGCACCGGTCTCCTCCTGTCCCTCGGCGCGCCACAGGAAGCCCCGCCCCACAGGTCGCGGGGCACCGCCTTCCTGCCCACCCCTTCCGGCTAGCTCCGCCAATGCCCCAGCTCGGCTCAGGACGGGGCCGCTCCCAGGCCGCCCGCGGAAGCCCCGGTCCCGCGGCCTGACGGACGTGTCCCCTGCCCAATCAAAACAAGCCGGTCGCCTGCGCGCCCCTCTGGGCTCGGCTCCCGCGCGCTCCTTTCTAGCGGTCGGGCCCGGGGGGCCGCGCGACGCCTAGACGTCCCGGCGGGACGAGCGGGACGTCTGCGTGCAGAGTCGCGCAAGTCGTCGTGTCCGTCCACGCCAAGCCCTGCTTGTGTGCTTTCGGCTGGAACTTGGATCTTGAAGTGACGGACCTCACGGGGAGTTCCGGAGAAGCGCCAGGGCGCCTCCCGCAGTTCCCTGGGACCGGCAGGGTGCACATCTAGTGCAATCGCACACCCGGCTTTGGCATTGCTGCCGTCCGAGAGCTGCTCCGTGTGTGCCGCACCCGCGTGTGCGGCCGCGCGTAGCTCTGCACTTTCGCCACGCGTGTAGATTCAGGCGACTCCCACGGGCATCCGCGTCCAGTTGGTTCCCTCCCAAGGACCCCTCCGGTTAACCTTTCGTAACCACAGCCTCCTCCCCTCTGCTCCCTCCCACCCCGCGACCACCAGTGTTGTGTGCTCGCTCGTGTACAGGTTGGTCATTTGAGCACTTCGGTAAATGGAACCATGATGCGGTATGCAGTAGGTCTCAGTGACTCCGGGTGGGCTTTTTTCCCTTCACTCTCATAATGCCCTTGAGATCCAACCAGATGGTTGCGTGTATCCACAGTCAGTTCTTCCTTCGTATTGCTAGCTACGGTCCTTGGTGTGGATCGACCGGCTGCTTCAAACATTCACCCGCTGAAGGACACGCTGCTCGTCCCCAGTCCTAGGCTGCTGCAGATACCCCCGCTATGGACATTCACGTACGTGTTTTCGCGTGATCCTAAGCTTCTGTTTCTTTGGCCTAAATGCCCAAGAGTGCAATTGCTGGGTCCTATGGACATGGATGTTTAGCTTTAAATATTTCATTTAAGTTTAGGGTATTTATTTAAGTAATCTCTCTACCGAACGTGGGGCTCCAACCCACCACCCCAGGATCAAGGGTTGCACGCTCTTCCCACCGAGCCAGCCAGGCGCCCCTGGATGTTTAGTTCTCCTAAAGGGAGAAACTGCCCACTTGCGGTCCACCCTGGCTGTTCTCATTTTCCATCAGCACCCTGCACAGCTTTAGAGCGCATCATCGAACATTTTTACAAAGCAACATTATATTAAGCAAGATTGTTAACAATTTTGTCTCTCTCTTCTACATATAGTCTCCTAATGCAATCACCAACATAGTCATTTACAGAGTTTTACAAAGCATATACCCTGGGGCGGGGGTGGGGGGCGGGCAGGGAAAAACAAAAATGAATAAAAATAAAAAGCATACATCCTATATATTTAATTGTGATTTTCTCTTACTTACTTACTTAGCAATAGGTCTTTGAAAACCTTCCATGTCACTAAACAAATGTCTAGCTCATTTCTCTTCTGGCTGCCTGCTATCTGATGCATGTACTGTATGTATGTACTATATGCAGGTACTATAATTTACATAATGAATCCCCAACTGGATGGTACGTTTACCTTTCCTCTTCTCTCTGCCATTGGCATTAGCACCGCAAGTACCAGCCGTGAACGTGCGTCGGCCTCCCTCTAGGATAATTACCTCTAAGCGAAACTGACAGGCCAAAACCTATGGGCGTTTGAAATGTCAATAGATACCAAGAGATGGCCTTCCCGACCGAAAGACTGGTGGTACGCTAGGGCTGTTAGTTCTTTGTTACCTATGTTGCAAATATTTTGCCCCCAGTATGTCTTTTGTCTTCAAGGACAAGGCTTGCCGGTTTGGGCAGTCAAGAAGGTATACATTTTTTTTTTTAAGTTTTTATTTTACTTTTATTTTTAATTACTTATTTTCTTTGAAAAATCTTAACGCGATTTATTTCTGAGAGACAGAGACAGAGAACAAGCAGGGGAGGGGCAGAGAGAGAGAGGGAGACACACAATCTGAAGCAGGCTCCAGGCTCGGAGCTGTCAGCCCAGAGCCCCACACGGGTCGAACCCACGAATCGTGAGTGAGATGGTGACCTGAGCCGAAGTCGGTCGCTTCACCGACCGAGCCACCCAGGCACCCCAATTTTTAATCATTTTCCATGTTTGTTTATTTTTGAGAGAGGGGGAGAACGCGAGTGGGGGAGGGGCAGAGAGAGGGAGTCAAGGGGATCCAAACCGGACTCTATGCTGACAGCACAGAGCCCCATGTGGGGCTAGAACTCACAAACCGTGAGATCATGACCTGAACCCAAGTCGGAGGCTTACCCGAATGAGCCAGCCAGGCGCCCCTAAAGTTTTTGTTTTTAAGTCATCTCTACACCCCCCCCCCCTTGGGGCTCCAACTTCAAACCCTGAGGTCAGGAGTCACATGCTCTACAGACTGAGCCAGCCAGGCGCCCCAAAGTTCCACATTTTTATACCACCAAGGGTATTAAACTGTCAATTGGCGATTTCTGGGTTGCGTATAGTGGGCACGAAGGCCTCCTCCCACGTGTGATGACAGTAAGGAGACTCGGGGTGGCATTGATGAGCCTGTTGCCAAGTCCTCGGTGACCCGGGCTGGTAGGTTGACCCGCTGGGCCAATGGCTGTGGCCCTGGGCGCCGGTCACACGATGCGGGGCTGCCTAGGCTGGGGGCTGGGGGCTGGGGGCTGGGGGCTGGGGGCGGTGCCACTCTGACAGCCAGCCCCTGCCCTCCAGGGATGCCAGTCCAGTTTGGGAGAAAGACCAGCGAATACGGAATGAGAACCACGCATAGGTGGCGCGCGGGTAAGCAAGAGAAATCCCGGGGAAGAGGACGCAGAGCAAATGCAAAGTCAGGGGTGGGTGAGCAGGGATGCGCTAGGGCCGTGGGGAGGAGCTCCCGGGGTGGGGAGGAGCTCCCGGGGTGGGGTTCCCAGGTGCCAGGAGCAAATGGCTTTCAGAAGGTCAGAGGGCAGAACCGAGACCCCACCTAAATCCCGTGTTGGTGAAGGGTGACCCCCGCGGGACAAAGGCAGGATGGTGCTGTAAGGAGAAGTGGGTCTGAGGGAGCGGGGACGAACGCCCCCCTGACTCCAGTCAGTCCTAGCAGCCGCGAACAGGGAGGGGCTGCCTTCCCCCCACCCCTAGCTGCAGGCTGAGAGAGGAACTGCTCCCCCTGCATCGTCGTGGTACTGCTGGGCTCCGGGCCGGCCGAGCACATCCACCCTCCCTGGAAGGGTAGCTCACCCCAGGCTTCCGGCCCAGGACCCCCAGAGGCCCAGCGGGACACGCGTCAGCAACCTCGACTTGAAGACACGGCCCACCTTGGTGGAGAATCGGCAGGCCTGTCGAAGACAGGACTGGCCCTGTGGACCTTCCCAGGGTGCAACTCTCAGAGGCCAGAGGACATCGTTTGCGGCCATGGCATTGCGAGCTTGCGGTGTGCCTCGGGCGTGATCCCCATTCACGGCTGTGCCATCCCGCAGCCCTAGCAGCCTGTTCGAGGCGTGATCCCCATTCACGGCTTCTTCCGCACCACTCGCTGGCAAGTGGCCCAGGCGGGGTGTGGATCAAGGACGTCGGGCTCAAGCCAGATCCCCTTCTGTGGGGCTGTGCTCTACGGCGCGGCTCGCTCCCTCACTTGGAGGTCCCCGGGGAACGTGTGGCACACTCAGCATGTCCTGGAGGCTTGAGACGTGAGCCCAGGTGGCCATCCCCCACGGAAGCCTCCTCGGGCCAGCACACAGCAAAGGGGGCAGGGTGAGAAAGAGAGCCGCCTTCCCCTCTTGTGCTTAACTGGGGTGGGGTGGGGTGGGGTGGGGTGGGGCGGGGGGGGGGGGGGACTTCAAAACCCAGACCGGCATTACCTTTGATTTCTCAGGAGATCAGAGAGCGGCGCTCGTGGATATCTACGCGTTGTTTGCGTTATTGTGATAGAAAGCTACTCCACCTCCCCAAGTCTTCAATGGCCTGTGAGACACAACAAAATAAAAACACAGAAGAGGGAATCAAACAGATAAGAATAATTGTAAAAGCCCAGGCACGGGGCACCTGGGCGGCTCACTCACTAGAGCACGCAACTCTGTGTCTCGGGGTTGCGAGTTCCAGCCCCACGTTGGGCACACAGAGGTTCCTTAAAAGAAGAAAAAAAGCACCCAGTCAATTTTGAAAAAGAACCGTCGAAGTCGGGCGCCTGGGTGGCTAAGTCTGTTAAGTGTCCAACTTTGGCTCAGGTCATGATCTCTCGGTTCGTGAGTTCGAGCCCCACGTCGGGCTTTGTGCTGATGGCTCAGAGCCTGGAGCATAGATTCTGTGTCTCCCTCTCTCTCTGCCCCTCCCCTGCTCGCGCTCTTTCTCGGTCTCTCTATAATAGACATGAAAAAGCGTTGGAGTAACAACACATAGCCTTTGGAATAAAATCCGTCAACAGACGGATGAAACCACAAACAGATGCCACTGAAGAAAGAATTACTGACCTGGAAGATGGTCCTCAGAAATCATCTCCTGCCCCATATCCCCTCGTGGTGGGTAAGGTTGCTTCCGCCTTCCCTGAGAAATTGTGGCAGCCCCTCCTCAGAGATCCAGGCTCTGCCTCTTCCAGGCCCCTCATCCTGGCGTCTAGGTGTCTGCTCAGCCCGACCTCTTCCCCGCTTCCCCTCGCCTCAGGGACGGCAGCTTTCTGCCATACGATCTGTTTCTTCAGCCCTCCGGGCCCTGAGCCACCAAATGCTCGTATTCGATTTCGTCTGCTGAGAAACCGTGTCTATTTCT